CCCCCCCCCCCCCCCTCGGCTCCACCCCACCCTGCCCCCGCACGAGCACACGTCCAGCTGCCACGCCAGCAGCTCGTGCAATGGCTCGGAGTGTACCGAATGGTTGTCTTATATAGTGGAGGCTGTTATCACAATCAAAACATTGGATTGATACATCTGCACCAATCGATTTCCGGTTTGCCTAGCGGTCGTTTTTCCCTCCAGTAATTCGAACCCGTGAAGCATTTTGCGGACGGACAGACATACATACATACATACAAACCGACACACAAAGTTACTGGTTTATAGAATGTAAGGATAGTAGGATGGGCTGTATTCCAGGACGTGGGAATTAGGTGAAGTGTTGGTGGTCAGCCCAGAAATCCCGTCAATGGCAGTACCATAGGCTTGACCACGCGCGCAGTAGTGAGCGTTAGCCAAGCTGGTTTCATTTTAAGTGGCCACGTTTCAGGCTAAGGCCACGTAGAATGAAAGTTGCACCACTTGCTTGCGTGAATTGTGGCGCGCACTGTTTTAGGGTTGGTTGACGGGAATTCACGAAGATGGACAGATGCGTGTACGAGTGCTAGCGACTTCCCTTCTCCTTGATTAACCCCCTCTCATGGGGAACAGTGAAGTCAACTACTCGTTTAGCAGTGAACGCGAAATTGCAACAATGTTGCGCTGCGCGTGAACTAAGGGGAGTTGTACGTTAATACGGAAACATTACGATTGACGTCTATTATTCACTATGTGCTCGTTCACTCCACGGCAGACAAAGAAGGAAATATTAATCAAATTGGATTTATTTGCGTTCGAAACAGACCATCTGTGTTTCAGAATGGCCTCTCTTTCGGAAATTACGTTTTCTTTGTCTCCGCTTTCACTACGGGCCAAGTAATTTGGTCGCGCAGTTATGTCGCTTTCTCCTTCGTTCATTGCATTTATCTTTTCAGCTCTCCTTTTCCTACCTTAGGCTAATGTGGTCTATTCGTATCCTGTCGTACCACGTTAGCTTAAATGGAACAATCAATTGTTTTTCTTTCAGTGACAATGTTCCCAGCCTATGCCAACGCTGCTGCCGAAGAAAAGGAGGAGGGTGAGTGCGAAGACGGTCCCAGCTACTCGTCTTTCGAAACGCAGCAACAAATATTGGAAGCCCGTGCTCGAGTGAGATAATACACAGATATGTTTCTTTCTCAAAATATCACTTTTCGCAAGGGTTCGAGTTTTCCGCCATTGTAGAAGCAGAAAAGGGCAAAAGAGGAACGTATGCTTGAGAGAAAGAAAAATGAGGCCGTGCTTCGGTACATATACAGCGAAGACGAAGATGACGATGAGGTGCAAGTCCATGTACGTCAGTTTTGAGACATTTCAAATGATTCAAGTCCGGGTTTTCGCTATGAATATTTTCTATGATTTCGAATTGAGCTGAAAGATCCTAATAGAGCATATACTTCGCAATGGCAGCGACTGTTGCGATCAGGCTCGGTCTGCGAACCTGAGTAACTGAATAAAGAAACGCTTATACGGAAAGATTCGGGTACACATCGATAGGTAGTCCGGCGTTTCGGTTAGATAGGTGCGAACGGACGGCTCGGCGCGCGACAGTGGCTCCGCCATCTCTGCTTTCCTCCTTCTAGCGGAGTCACCTTATTCATACATATCCATCTCTTTTCGCTTTGGATGAACCATGCCAGCGTCTCGCCAAGGCGTTCGACAAATTCCCGAGCCTATGCCTGTTCATTGCTCTGCGCCGTTTCTCCGGTTCATCGGGTTCTCACATCGCTCCCTTGAAGTTCCCGAAATCAAGTGACCAGCGAAACGCGTCCGTGCATAGGCATTCGAGTTCGCTTTCGCAAAGGATGTACCGTTCGTCACGTGAAATGGGAGATAGAGGCGTGTGACTATTGTGCCTTTTGTTCTTTTTATGCTGCAAGAAAACGACTCACGCGCGGAATGACGTGTGTGAATTGTGTTGAATGTAGCGTCGTAGGACGATTTCACAACCTCGTCGGAGAGAATCTTATCTTGTTGGCCCTTTTGCGCGCTCAGGCGTTGTATTCCTCCCGCTATACTTGGGCGCTGCCCAAAATCAGCATCGAAACAACTGATTTGGTGCAAAAGCTCGTCAGCATTGCTTACCATAGGTCCTAATGTCACGCACAGTTTCCGGGAGCTGTTCTCTGTTCCATTGTTTTTACTTTTCATTCTTTTATACTGTGTGTTCGCTAGAGGATGCAAGGAAACGATTTATGAGCTAACGGTTGCACGGAGGCCGCAGGGTATCAAGTCGCCAGCATGTTCGGAGAACTCGTACAAAGAGGCCGTATGACTGTCGGGGAGGGGGTTCGTTTGAGATCTCTTCAAGTTTTTTTTTCTTGCAGCTTCCCCAACTGTAAAGTCACCTATCAGCTGCTGGTTCATAAATGAACGCCGACTACTCGTAAAACTTGACGGGAATTGATTAAAAGCGAATCTGTGCTGCCACGGGTATGGAAGCTGCCCAACAACGACTGCCACACGCTGGGAATTTTTCCCATTGGTACTTTTTAGGAAGGATAGAGAGCATTTCAGACCCCCACATTGAGTGGTCTTCTTGAAAAGTATTTACAAAGCCAAATATCTGAGGAAAATTTCATGGCGTTCTTGTAATTGTGAATGAATGAATGACATTCTTGTTGGAATTAACGGCGAAAGTTGCCGCAGATGCTAAAAACGTTGAATACTGCCTTCTCAAAGTTGCTTGCTGTTCAGGTTCAGTTGCCAACACCTTATTTTACCCCGGTTAGTGTTCCGAAAGTTGATTTACCGATTTCTAAGAAGAAAAAGAAGAAATCAAAGAACAAGAAGCGACGGAATCAGAAGCCAAAGCGACCCAAGCGCCCCAGGTAGCACTGAGTGCATCCCGTGCTATTGAGTGGTGTTCATATAGTGCTTTCAGAGCTTCGTCCTCGTCAAGTTCGGACGCCTCTTCCGACGATCGCAACCATGAAAAGGGGTATGCTTTCCTTTTGCTTGTTTGTTTACTACTGTTGTTTCAAAAGCGTTTCCAGGAGAAGTCGGTCAAGGCGCTCGAGCACTTCATCGACGTCTTTTTCTAGCGAATCTGAAGATCACCATAGAAAGAGGAAGCAACATGAGACACCAAAACTCACCTTAGTGAGTGTTGATACGCTATTGTTTTTCAGTATTTCATCCTTCTTTTCTCTTCCACTTCTTTTACAGTGCTAAATACAAGATATTTTTGTCGTCTTACCAAAAAAAATTCTTTGATTCGTCTCATATCAACATTGACTTCATGATTTGTATTTTTTCTCATGAACTCCTCGGCTTATTATTTTTTCTTTGCAGAAGAAAGAAAAATGGGAGTTTCTCCGAGACAAAGAAGAGCGCTCTAACGAAGGCTCTTACATTGGCAAGTTCTCTTTCTGTGGAACTTTCTTTAGCAGTGTTTGGAAGATAGTTATTTGCAGTCTTTCATAATGTTTATGATCACGAAATTTTCCAAATGGATTCCATTCCTAAAGGGCATACGACGGATTATAGAAATCGCTTCTATACAATATTGAACGGTAATGAGCGATTGGATGAGGTGAGCGTCTTCCTCAATAAGTTCTCTTTTGGTTTTTCACTCTGCCATTTCTGAAAGGGAAGAGGCGATACTGTAATACCGTTGACTAGGTTCAACCTTACGCTCTTCAGTGTTGCTTTTGTATGATAACCACTGTTTCATATCGCAATGAGCTCAAGTCAGCTGAGAGGCTAGAGCGGCACGGTGGGTAATGCTAGCATACACGCCTGGTCAGGAAATACGGGTTCGAGTCCTGCCTGGGGCCTGACTTTTGCTCTGACTCACCATTCTTGTGATAACTTGAGCCCTCCTTTGGAATCGTAGCTACAACTGATAAAATCTAGTCCATCTGTAGATATTCGGATGTTATTCATACTTTCGCAATTTGGCTACAAGTAAACGTACCCTGGAGGGGTGGAAGACCTGGTATGCGGGTTCGGTGCGGTTTCTCTATCTTCTGCTCCAGCCACAATACGTGCTGTATGGTTTCCCTTTCGCGCTGTTCTTTCCCGTGAATTAGACCATTGAAGCGGAAAGCACAACCACTGCCATAAACTTCTAGCTGTGGACAGACGATACGAATTTCAACCATTGGAAATTTCAGACAACTTTTCCTTGCATTCTTGATAGACAGCTTTTGATGATGAAAACTATGTTGTATTACATTACGTAGCAGTACGATAAACTGTAAGGAACTAATTTTCAGCTGTTCTTCTCGAAGGAAACTCGTGAGTTGCGCCAAAAGAGGATGAGATCGGATAGATATTATGGAGGGCAGCTAAGGAGGCTGGATGATTCCATAGTGGAACGAAAATTTCGCAAACTGGAACCTTTATATCGTACTAACACTGACTTCATTGCTTTATCCAAAACAAGGATGCAGGAATTCAAATATTTGGTACTGCCGCATTTGATATTCATGTTTGTTGTTTAGCTTCATTTAACCGCTATGCATTCCAGCATGAAATTGCTGAAAGAAAACGTATGGAACAGCAGCAGCAGGCACTGAATTTTGATGTTGAAGTACGTGTCTTCTCATTCCTCGTCTGACATTAGCTGAAAAGACTCGAGAACGTTCAATATGCTGTAGAAGATGACTCTTACGTTACTCTGTTTAGTTAACGACTCCGCCTGAACTTATTGAACTGGAAAAACGAAGGCGGCATGTTGCTACTGAATTTACGAATAACTCGAGCAATTCCGAACTACTGGATGAATTCCTCAAGATAAATGTACGCTTTTCATAAAACCAATATTACTGCGTCATTCTGTTCGCGAACTACGCAGTTTAACGGAGTTTACCTGTTTGATACGTTGATTTCAGGAGGAAATTTTCGACAGCAGTGGACCGAGCGGTTCGGCAGGTGGTCGAAAGGCTCTTGCTGAACGCCAACTTTCCATAATTGATCCAAGTAAGGACCTTAATTGTTTTCTGTCAGTTTTTCTTTCATTGTTTGTTTAGGCAATAACATGTAATCCTCGCAAAGTCGAATTTCGTCTGAAAAGGCTTCAGTTCTTGAAGGAAATAAGGCCAAGTGGCGAACTGTTGGCCGAGTGGGAAAGGGTATGTCTACTTTGTTTTTTTTGCTCACTTTTATTCCCTCTAGGAATATTTGTAGTAGAAGTATATCTTTTGTTTTCAGATATTGAATGCTTTTGTCAATAATTGCTCTATGTGGGAAAAATACATAGATTTCATACAATACGACATGGCGTTGTATTCCAGTGAAGTTTTGGTGAGTTCGTATTTCATATTATGGTAGACTTTGTTAACATCGCTCGATTTTCTTTTGTTTTAGGAGAAGGCGTTCGATCGGTGTTTCGCTAAACTGGGCGCTATCCTTGATGGAGCCTTCAAGTATTTTTTCATTCTTTACTCATTCTGTTGTAAGGGCTGTTGAATTTCGTTATGTTGCAGTTATCGAACGTGTCAGTCTAATTCATGACTATTTGACAAGTCCCACATTAACAAATTGATGCTTATTTTCTAGTATTTTGGATTATCAATTCTCCCAGTCTGACACGGGTCAAGCGCCCGTCGCGGAACTCGAGACGGGGTAGTGTGTGAGCTGCCCAGAGGCAAACAAGGTTGTGCAGCTTTCACTGACGAAGAAAAGCGAGAACATATGCGGCATACTGCTGGACCTCGTCGTGCGCTGGCTATTTCCTCCGTGATTGCAGGGAGTACAAGGCAGATCTGGTGTAGACCCCACCACCGGCTTGAGTTATCTGCCCTTACACGACAAGGAACGCATCAGCCATTCTCATATGTATGTCAGCACGACCTTAAGGACATGCCACGCGTGGGCAACTCGTAGGCGTCCTTGTACAAATTATCTGGCTCACAGTCTCGGAGAATATCCTATTTTCGCAAATTTGCAAGGCGCACTTCCGGCGAAGGCGCTGTGGCACCCATAAGTGGCATTTCTGACGCCTCCCCAGTTGTGCCGCCCACCGGAACATAAAAGCTATCTCCTATCACACAAGTTCAATTTTTAAACCACTTTTTTGCTTTTTTCGTTGTTTGATAGTATTATTATTGAATGACGCGGGGGGGACATTATTGAGCTAGAAGTGATAGAATGGAGCTTTGCTGGTTTAAAAAACGAGCAGGTCCGGAAAACTAGCCCTGAGAGGCTCTACCAGGTCTTTACTCAGGACGCCACGATTTTTTTTCCGCGTTTTCTTCCCTGGAGAGTCTTAGCTACTGTAGGTTTCTAAGCGCCACTATCCACTATATACAACAACGGGGTTTGTCTTTCATAGAAGTCGAGTACTTGGTGCACTTGTGCAAAGGATGATCAGTGACTTTGACTTCCGAGAATTTTAGATGGAACTGAGGTCATCGTAGTGGTAGAACCCTCGCGAACTCTCGGAGCGAAATCCGCAAAGGGCGAGCTTGTTGTAGAAATACAGCAAGAAAAGGTTGGGCTTCCCGGAAAGAGGGATTGTTCCAGTTTTGAATCCGTAGGTCTTCGCTTTACGTTATATATGTACGGAGCTGTATTCATTGGAAGGTCGTGAACACCGTTTGCCAGGATCACGAATCAGGCCTAGCGCTTCGGAACAGATTGTTTGTGATGAAGTTTTTCCGCTTTTCAAGTAGGATGGAGCTCAGTGGAATTCCATGGTGCCATGCGGCCTTCCAATCTCACAACGCGCTATGCACCTTTAGAATCAGGACCACTGCCTCCTATAGGTTGTAAGAGGTCGTATTGTCAATATGGTGACCCCCTCCCCCCTCTTATCATTGAAGGAGAGGGGGGGGAGAGGTCGTGGCGTGTATGTCGGTTTGAAGTCATGTTTCTTCTGTGTTCTGGGGTAAAGAATATTACTTCTTAGATACAGTCTATTTGAAGAGATCTAAGAAATTTTTACTGCCCCTTTATTTTTGTCCTGTATCATATTTTGAATGAGATTACTTGCCGGAAGCTATCACTAACTTATCAAATCGATCTCTTGCAGATCCCACAAACCAGAAGAAAATACGGAAGTGTTTCTCCTGCATATGTATGTAAGAAGGTTGATGTGGTGGATGGAACGTGGCTTTACGAATCGCGCTGTTGCTAGTGTTCAGGTGAGATACTGTGTCACTTTACAACTAGATGTGGTTGGGATCATTTGTAGCCGGACTCGTTGAGCATTCTATGTTGCCCCTCCTGAGTAACAAATGAAATTGAGAACATGCTCAACGAGGGCTAGCACCACTTTATCATCTGATTGTTGAACATGTAGAACCTAATTCTTTATAGGCAAGTGTGGAGTATAACCTTCGAGCGCCCGCGTCTTTGGTGAATGCACCTGAGAAACAAAAGCTCGAGGCATTTGCGAAGTTTTGGAATAGCGGTGTTCCCCGATTTGGAGATCGACAGTCTAGAGGTGCGCAAGTCTCTTACTGAACTTCAGGTTTCACTGCTTCCATGACTAGGCAAACTGTTTTTTTTTCTCCACAAATTCTATTGTTCTTCGGTTGTTTTTCTTTTACAATCCTTGTTAAGGATGGGATGACTACTTCAACGGGCAGGTAGGCCTAGATGAGCTGAGGGATCCTGAAATTATAGAAAGAGAAGTACAAACACAGCTGATTTTAGCGTTAGAGGAAAGGTAGGAGATTTATGTTCGTTTTTGTTTATTGCAAGCCACTGCTCTCCAGTATTTGTTTCTTTGTATATAAACCGCCGTTTTTTTCTCGTTGTGTCAGTGTTTGTGTACCGCAAATTCATAGCAGGCTTCCCAGTGAGCAGCTGGTTTCATAGGGAGTGACAGCAGCTGCTTGACTCCAATAGTAGTAGGCTGAAAAGAATGGTCACAAAATTCGTAGCGCCCTCCACAGTTACAAAAGAGCGTTTGTTTACCACGTTCGCGGCGGCGCCGTTTCGCCAAAAACTTCCGTTTGTCGAGCGGCGCGTTCGCGGCAGGCAATACTTAGCCAGTCGTTCCGTTTATGGTTCAGAGCGCTCGGATAGGATACAACCCCGCACTCATATTGACATTACTTCTAAATTGCTCGCAATAGTAAATTCCATGTTCGCCTTTCTTGTAACCTGGGCATTTTGAACTTATGTGATCGATAACTTCTTTCTTATGCCGGACAGGTTTGTATGGTGGAATCTTTATTACGCCTGACGTTTCGACAATCGTCGTTTTCAAAGGCCTGAAAGCACACCGAAAGTCGTGAAATACGACCTATCCTGTTTAACACGGACCCGCCTTGACTAGTTGCAACACTGACCAAGGGACTACAACGAAAGGAAATTCCAACAGTAGGTTACCTCGTCAGTTCCACCAGCGCCGATGCTCTGCTCAACTTTAAGAACCGATAGAGCAAGTGAGACTCACTTCTATGCACTGCCATAGTGATAGAGTGCGTACGTGCAGTACATCCCGTTCTCACTGTTAAAGACCGCACAGCGGAATGTACGGTAAGAAATCAGCAGTTATTGAGATGCACTCATTCCTGTTGTTCATGGATGGATTGCGGTGCTTTATCCAGAACGCTTCGAGGGTTTTCTTAGCACCGACATCATTTTCATAGGCCAATATAGTGCAACGTCAGAATCACAGCCGCCATGATTTTCCCTTCTATGCTTGCCAAGCGGTGCAACTAAACTTTCCGTCTTTTGCTAGCCAGATGTTCCTTAACGCGTATACCTAATTGTCTCCCAGTTTCACCGATATATGAAGCGCCACAGGTCAAACATTGAATTTGGTATATTACGGCCCACTGTGCACAGTCACCCACCTTCCCATACGGACAGATCACGCAGTTCTCCATGGTGCAGACTCGATCATAGAGGCGATTCCTGACCAACTGGTGTTTTATATTGTCCCTTGGTGTATTTACCAAAAGAACGTCGTTGGCCAGATCTGCTCTTCGGAGGCACTGTTGTATAACTGCGGTAAACTGGTCCGATATGAATGGTAGCTGAAGATGAATTTTGTTTTCAGCTCTATTTGGGGAACTTCTCGCTGTGCGTCGCTTGCGCCGCTGTTGCCGGGCGTTGAGATGAGCTATTCTAGTAGCTAATCTCGTGGACTGTTCTCGCTCCTCGTTGCCGGTGCAAACCCCTACGGCGGTTTTGTACATGTTTCGTAGCACTGCACGTTTGATCGCTCTGGGGTGTGCCGACGTTGCATGGAACGATGATGTTCTTGGAGCTCTCTTTTCTATACCACTTCACATTGTACTGTCCATTTGATACCTTTATCTGAATGTTCAGATATGGTAGCCAACCTTCGCGGGTACTTCCCGAGTTAACCTGATGTACTGCGATTGACTGTTGAGGACGTCGAACAACTCGTCCATTTCTGACTGAGTTGATGTGATAATGCAACAGTCATCAATGTATCGGCAGTACCTCCCGGACCACTTGAAAACATTGCAGTTCAGACACTCTCTGATGAGAACCATTATTTGCGTTTTGCTCAAACCAAACGTTATCATACTTCCTGCATGCTCGTCAAGCATTTCTGCCACTGCTTGTAGAGCGATGTGGCGGCTGAAAGAGCGGGAGGCAGCTGTGATTTCTCGTATTCGACTACCTGAAGTCACAACTGTTCAGGAGACCTGGAACGAAGCCGTTAATTCTATAATCCAGGCCGCCCGCTCCGAACTCGGCACAACGAAGCCTGGACGGCGGAGGATTGACAAAGAGGCGTGGCTCTGGACGGACGACGTCAAAGCGAAGGTTCGAGAAAAGAAGAGGCTCTATCACGCGTTTCTCGAGCACAAGTCGGCTGACAACTGGCGGCAGTATCGGGAAGCGAGGAATGTGGCAAAGACGGCCGTGGCTGCTGTGAAGGCCGCTCACTTCGATGATATCAGCAAGAAGCTGGAGACGCGCGACGGTGAGCGGTACCTGTACGGACTTGCCAAATCTCGTCATCGCCAAACCGAAGACATTGAGAAGTTCTTTGGCATAAGTGATGAGAATGGGCAACTTCTGATGGACCGAGGAAGGGTATTGCAACGATGGCGTGAATACTTCGAGGGCATCTCAACCGTGGAATTCGCCCATCCCGCTATACCCTGTACCGCACCAACATATGGCCCCGTTCAGATCACCGTACAGGAAACCGAAGCTGCTCTGAGGAAGATGAAGGCCCGGCAAAGCAACAGGCCCCGACGACATCGCAGCTGATTTGTGGAAGTCACAACGCTGGTTTTCTGCGGGTTGGTTGACGAAACTCTTCAACCAGATCGTCGAAGAGAAGAAGGTGCCACTGGCAGCAGAGCGTGACGATCCCGATTTGGAAGAAGAAGGGCAACCCGGCAGAGTGCTCGAACTACCGTCCAATTCGCCTTCTCTCGCACACTATGAAAATCTTCGAGCGAATTGTTGACGCCCGTGCATGTAGCCTTCCTAGACCTGGAGAAGGCCTTCGATCGTGTGCCACGTGACGTTATATGGTACGCTTTGAGGCGGCATGGCGTGCCCGAAGAGCTAATCGAGTGGGTGCGCATCCTTTACTCATGCCCAGGGAGCCAAGTTCGCTCACCAGCGGGTGTTTCAATGGAGTTCCCCATCACCGTCGGGGTACATCAAGGCTCTGCGCTCTCCCCACTTCTTTTCGTTGCCGTCATGGATGCCATCTCACGAGATCTTCAGAAGGAAGTGCCTTGGACCCTGCTTTACGCTGATGATGTGATGCTTGCTTGTGAAGATAAGAGCGCACTGGAACAGCAGGTGCAAGCTTGGGCCGAGCGTCTGGCGAAGTTTGGACTCAGGTTGAACGTCAACAAGACCGAGTACCTGACAACCGACCCAAATGAGCCGGGCTCCATTAAGATCGATGACACGGTGCTCAAGCGCACGGAAACATTCAAGTATCTCGGATCAGCACTTGCGTCCGATGGCAGTCTGAACTCGGAAGTGAGCGCACGAGTGAGTGCGGCATGGTCTAAGTGGCGATCCATGTCTGGGATCCTTTGCGACAAGAGAATGCCAGAGCGCCTCAACCCCCATAGCAGAGAAATTGCGCGAAACGCGCCTTCGATGGTACGGGCACGTACTTCGCGCGAAGGCTGACACCGTCCGTAAAACTGCTCTCGAACTCGAGGTACCAGGAAAGCGGCCAAAGGGGCGTCCCAAACAGCGCTGGCTCGACACGCTGCATACCGACTTGAAAATAGCCGGCATTCACCCCGATCAGGCATTCAATCGGGAAAAATGGCGTAGTTATATCAAAAGAGCGGACCCCGCCATCAAGCGGGACAAACGCTGAAGAAGAAGAAGAAGAAGATTTCCAAGACCTCTGGCAGACAGTAATGCACATTCTTCAGCGGACAACTTGTGAGTTTTCACAAGACTGTAAAACACTGGGCATGTGGGGTTTTCTAGCTTGAGCCTTCTGATGAATTTATCATCCAGCTTTGCTGATTTGCCCACTTTCATCCATAGCGTGTTTAACCTTGTGCGTTTGTACACGAAAGGCATTTTCTGTCGATGGACAGTAAACAGTTGTATCCGATAGATGGAGCTCTGTGATCTCCCTATCCATGGATGGGACAATACCACAAATTCTCCACCCTTGTCGCTGACAGAAAGGCGTATTTCGTTGCGCGATATTCTATCCCGGATCTCCTTGAACCCTTCCCATTGCTCTCTCGTGAGGTTAGTGCGTTTTTCTCGCTTGTAATCTATCAGCCGCTTCGAGCTCTCCCGAGGACAATGTCCGAAACCTTATATCGGCCGCTGGTAATGGGTCAAGGCTCTTTATAAAATAGGAGGCGCGGAAAGGAATGGATGTTGGGAAGCTTGAAACACTATGCTCCAACCTTTCGCCCGCATTTCTCTGGGAGTCGCGTCGCGTCTTCGTCCTTAGCAGATCTCTAAATTTTTGCAAACCGCATACTACCTTGGCGAATCGTGAACGGACTGATCATTTGCGTTAACGAGAAACGATGGCCCCAAATTCAAAAAATCCATAGCTTTAGATGAAATCTTGTGCATCACCAATGACTGTGACTCTTGCTGGCTTCGGATACGGTATTGATATGCTGAGCAGTTTCACGTTCGGATTGGCTGAGTTCATTGAGAAGTAACTGCTGCTAGAATTCCCTGCCCGTTGTTCGGTCCTCAGTGAGTTGTACTTGGCGCAGAGCGTAGTTTTTGCGTCAGAACGGATAGAGTCGATATCGCTTTCGATTCACCTTCAATCCTTCATGTTTCTTGTGGTAGCAGGCGACGACAGGATTCTTCTTTACTAGTGCATTTTAACAGCATCGAATACAGTAGGTGTTGTTTTTCTCTGATGAGCACACCAAGTAGCGATCAGGTAGAGTCTCATTATTCTCGGATGTGTACAGATAAGTTACATACTGATCCTGGCTTCTTGTTCAATATTAACTTCGGAAGAACTCCGTTTGCCTTACAGCGTTGCAAGAACAGGAGCGATTGTCGGGTAAGTACGTTTTTCTGACGTAACGATAGTGCTTCTCTCAACAGGCGGAACACATTTGGCGGTATATCCTGTAGTAAATTCCATGCTCGCCTTTCTTGTAACCTGGGCATAACATCTGGCTAGCCAAAGACGAGAAAGTTTAGTTGCACCGCTTGGCAAGCATAGAAGGGAAAATCATGGCGGCTGTGATTCTGACGTTAAATG